GAATTATTAGTTTTATATTTTATTAAGTAAATTAACAATAAATAAAAAAAATTTCTTTTCTTTATTAAAAAAACAATAATTTAAATTTCTTCTAAATTTAAAACTAACTTTTTAAATAAGGGAAGATCACCTTTCAAGGCTTACTCTCAGTTGCAAATTGGAAATCTTGGAACATATATGAGTCCATTTTTCTTAATTTAAAAAAAATCGAATTTAATTTTTTTAGTAAGAGAATATTTGTACTTCTTGCTGAGCTAAAAGCTCGATTATTTTTTTATGCAAAAAAAGATAAAAAAATTTATTGGATATTTGATGACTTTTATTAAGTGTATCAATGATGTGAATAGAGCATAATTATTGATTAAAATTTTGTATTTTTTTTCTACTTCCATTGAAATAATTTGAGTAATCCCTCTATGTGAGTGTATGTGTCCTTATGTGAAAACTTAAGCATTTTCTATTCAAACTCTAAACTCTAAAAGGCTAGGCCCAAATTGCATTATTTAATAACCCAATTAGAAAAATACTTTTCTTTTCCCCCCCACCAATCAAGGCGAGATTTTCCCAGCTTTTTATGTTTAGAAAGCAACTAGTCCAATTAATAAAAGGCACGTATTGAAACATCAAGATTAAGGCCCTTTATTAATTTGTATAAAATGTGAAAATTATATTAGATTTATCTATGAATGTTGGTAAAAATTATAAGAATTTATTCCTTTTTTATATGTTTTGATTCTAATTGAGAAGATAAATTTTTTTTTATAAAATTTATTAAGTTTGACGTAAATAAATTTGTTTGGATTGATTAAAAAAAAGATGAAAAGGACCTAAAAATCTTTCTTATTAAAAAAATTAATTCTAAATTTTTCCCAACTTAATCAAATGGTTAGTCGATAATTTATTTTAATGAAAATTATTCTAATTAAAGCTAATTGGTGCCCTTTAGCTTTCAACTTTATTAATTACTCGATAATTAGGGTTAATAATTCCAAACCACATCGAATGTGGATGTGTGCCTTAATTTGGTGGTCTTTCCCAATTGCTTGAAAGTTGAATTTCTCACGCCAATATTAGCAGCTTTCTGGAAAAACATGAATTTTTATAACCTCTATTTTTTCTAAAAATTTCAAACTTTTGAATCTTTAGCAATTTCATAATAACTGCTCTCTGTCAAATTTCTTCAGAATCTATTTCCTGCAAGGATAACAAATTAGGCTGACAGTAGGCCCTTGAAACTGATAAACAGGTGGAGTTTAAGGCTGAGAATGATGCAAGCCAACGCATGCAACACATGCCTAGCAATCAATTTTCTCATAGTCCAAACAAAAATTTTGTCCTTTTTGTCCATGAATTTAATGGTGCGTCTCTCTTTCACAATTGTCTCATTTGGTCTGCACCTTCTTGCGCATGTCGATCCAAACTTCAATGGCTGATTTACAACCTTCACTGAATTTTGTTTTTTCTTATGATAAGACATCAACAAAATATAGGAGTCAACTGATATTTCTTAAGGTTTAGAGTTTAAATGTAAAACACTCAAATTCGAACATCTTATGATTTTTTTTGATAGATAATTTGTCTGAAAAATACTAAAAATATATAAAAAAAAGTATTCATACATTTTTTTTATATGTCGGTTTATCTTGACTTTAGAAATAGGATATCCTCTCTTATTTCTAAACCTTTTTGTCTACCAAAGAGAAAAAAAAAAAACCGAAATTTCAAGTAAATAATAAGGTGATCTTTTTAATAAAAATAATATTACTCATCTAATATATTTTGGGAGCATTGAAAATAAACCAACTTTGATTCTTTTAGGGTTTCTCTGTCAAAGTAGTGAAAGTACATTTCATCTGCGAAAATCATATTACCCCCTGAGAACTTCAAGAACGGCGGAAGCACAATTTACCTTTTGAACATTGATATACCTTTTACTGACACCATTAACGGTCGTCTACTTGAAAAGCTTCCGAGCGGTGAGAGTAGTTTAGTCATTTTCCTAACGGCTTTTGTCACATTGTTTCTATGTTGGTTTCATATTTGTTTTTTACAACAATGTAGAGAAAGGGAGATGGGGCATGGGATTTTGTTTTGTCATTGTTTTTGAAAAGTGAAATTGCAAGAGGCAAAAGCGAAAGTGGGCATGGAATACTTACAAGAATGAGAGGGATAGGAGAGACACCAAAAACACAGGAACATGTGATTTGCCTGCTTTGATATGCATGTGAGCTGATGTGACAATGGAAGGACACTTTTTTTGCCACTCTGGTTTTCTCTTGGCTTCAAGCATTAAAGTAGATATGTTTTTGACGATCACTGCGAGAAGGGAACCCCAGTGCCTGTTGTTAAAGGGAAATAGGAAGGGGAAGATCGCCCTGCTGAGGAGATATTTGTCTAATTTGAAGTTCACGAGAGTACGTAAGAAAGCTTATATATATATATATATATATATATATATATATATCTATATCGGATATTATTTAAGTTTAAAAATTTAAACTATTATATTCTTAAGTCTAATGTATTCTTAGTCACATCACTCAATCTTACAATTTAAGTTATTTTAGTGTCTCTTAAGTTTATATTCTAGTTTGACTCAATACATTATTCACTTGAGTGTTTTGTTTTGCACACTTATTGCATCCAAGTCAAATTTTTTTACTCTGATATCGACATTCAAACACATAGAGTTAATAAATGTGATTAACTTTCGATCTGCCAATAATCTTTTCCTCAGTCACACCACTTAAACTCGAACCCATAACATTGGCTCTTATATCGATTGTTGAGAAAATATTTACCACATTTGGATCCAATGAAAACACAACAGAGAGCTCATACATATATATTAAACATCACTTAAGCAATTGTTACAAATACGAGGTCCAACCCCATTATTTTAGATCAATTAAAGGCTATAGGCTTTAGTTTTTTTTTCTATTGAGCCCTAGATAATAAATAAAATGGGGGCAATTTTTGGCATGAAAAGAAATAAAGAGAAAATACGTCAAATAGAAAGAAAAACAGCCAAAAAAATAGAGAGAAAAGGGATAATAGAAAGTTGATTGAAATTGATTCATAATCCAATTGAACTGAAATTTTATTAGCAAATTTATGATTAAGAGTTTTACATTTTGAACGATAAAAATTGGGTTTGAAACTTTTCATAAACAAATCTTTGATGTATTTGTTGAGTTATTTATTTGGTGAGATTTCTCTAATTATCTCTTTAGTTGTTCATTAGCTCTAGTTTTAGTTAGAAAAAAACTTTGTATATCCATTAATTGATAGTAAAGATTTTTTTGGTGGTCTATAATTTTTTCTTTCTACATTAAAATGTTTTTCATATAAATTTTAATGTGCTTTATTTTTTTTACGTTGTTAATTATTAATTATTATCTATTATTGTGAATTTATTACGATATATTACTTTTGTATAATTATATTTATTGCTTCAGACCCAACTTACTTTTTTATGAGCACAAATAGCAAAAGAAACCACCTTTTTTTTTTTTCTATGTTGATGGCCGGCCTCCTAGTTGCGGTTGAAAATTCTGAAATCACATAAAAAAATAAAGCACTTAAGGTCAATGGCAAGAGTATTTATTACGTTTACATTCTTATATTTAAATAAAAGGTCGACGGTAAAAAGTTGAAAAATGAATAGGAAATAAAAAAAATATAAAAAAATAAAATAGATAAATAATACTTGAATGATTTTATTTATAAATAAAATGTGAGAAGTTTATTGAATAAAATAGTAACATAATCGAGTTGACGTGTCATTGTATATCATATGTTGATAATCTTTGATAAAAACAAAATGATCAATTTACTTTTTTAACTGAAAAATACCTCTAACATTGTGAGAGAGAAAGAGAAGGCATCACTGGCAGCCAAATTTCTTAATCGATCATCATCGAAACCATAGGAAAGATTCACTAACGAGAGAGAAGAAGGAAAGATTGTCGTTTAGACGGGTGATCCAAGACTTATCTTAGAAGTGGAATTACGATCAACACACGACATACCAACTAACAACTTTTGCATATGTTTTTCCCATGATTTCCTTGATTGTCCACTCCACACCCAGTCAAGATTCACGGACTCTCAAGTTTCAATTCGTGCATGCGACTATAGTTATGGAGTATTGGACCAATGGTTTTTAATTACGTATCATCTTACATTATTATATAATAAAATAATTCATATCTTATCTTATAAAACTATATCTTTCGTTTTGAAATTCAAACTCGAAAACTTAAAATTAAAATATCAAGTTTTAATCGTTGAATATTTTTCTCAAACATAGGAATTATTTTTATTGATTGGTTAGAATAGACATTAAATGAGGAGCTATCGAATGACTTGAAAAGAATAGAAAGGCGACATGAAATGCCTCGGTATAGATATGGTAGTACGGTCCATGGAGATGGCAACTGATATCTGACAGGGCTACGGGAAGTAATTGCTGTAGGACGCCCCAACCTGAGGTGGCCGGTGGCTCTGCCTCTTGCTTCGTCCCACCCCTACTCCGCCTCCAGCCGTCCATATGGGGTATTAATCTATGCCTATCCCTAAATATTCCCTCCCTCGTGTCCAGAATCTACCCTGGTCCCACCCTACCCAAACTTACCATGTACTACTTACTATATGCCAATTACACGATTTAAAAGCATAAAATTGTTCGATGGCATGAAAAATTCTGATCGACAGTTGAATTGTTCGATGAAAATTTTTTATCTACAATTGAATGATCATTCAATAAAATATTAAATTCTTAATTTCAATGATTGATAATCTCAAATATCAAAAAAAAATTTTAAATGTTGGAGTCCATATAGACACGTTATTCTTGTGCATTTTTCTTTTTTGTATCTAATTTATTGTCCTGGAAATTTGTTTTCCCACAACTTTTCCAACATCCAAACAAGAGAACCTTTCAAGGAAAATGTAACATCAGAATAATAAGTTCAAACGATCTACTTACTCAAATTCCCTAGACTCCGATGCAACTCGATTGCTGATTGCCAAAAATTTCTCATTGATATTCTGCTACATTGATGTTGTTGGGTAATTAATACCCATGTATGACAAGGCCTAACAATTATAAAGGTTGATTTTTCCCTCAAATGACCCTAACTAAAAGATCAAGATACTTTTCTCTTTGAATACTAACTGAAACAACAGTAGTGTTACATAAAAAGAATCTGCAAAAGTAAAAATCCAAAAAAATAATAATAATAACACAAAAATCGATCATACTCTTGTAGTTCTAGCTCATCAGTAGGGATGACAGTATCTGTCCCATCGTTTTTTCAGATGCGTCACCTTCATCGTCTACATCAATTCCAGACTCTAGCACTGCAGCATCCAGAGTCAACTTCCGTTTTGCAATCTCATAAACATTCTCATCAACTGTACCTTTCGTAACCAGCCTGCAAATGATTAGAGCATATTCACTAAAGCATGTAAATTTTGCAGCTAGAACTTCACAATGTGCTGGAGAGAAGAGAAGAAGAAAACATAGGGAGTGAGGGAAAAGAAGAGGGAAATGAAGGGTGTTTTCAAGCACCTGTATATGGTAACAGGCCTTGTTTGGCCAATTCGATGGCAGCGATCTTCAGCTTGTCGGTCAATCTGAGGATTAAAATCCATATCATGAATAACTACAGTATCAGCTCCTGTCAAGTTCAAACCCTGCCCTCCAGCTCTCGTGGACAACAAGCACGCAAATATAGAAGTGTCATTATTGAAATCATCGACTATAGTCTGCCTATCAGTCACCCGAGTACTGCAGAGTAGGATACATTTACTGCTCAGTTGATGTTAATAGAGAACTAAAAGGAAAAATGGAACAGTAGCCTAGTAAATGAGTAAAAACACCAACTAAAGTCCTGCATCAGTTAAACCTCATAGTAGAAAACTGGAACCAGCCTTGGAAAAGAAAACACCAAAACTTTTCCCGCATAAGAAGGAAAAAGAAAAGTCTAACAAAGACGAATGTAAAGCAACACCTGCCATCCAGCCGTCTATATGTAACCCCAATCACATCTAAAGTCCACTCCAAGATATCAAGCATCGATGTCCACTGGCTAAAAATCAGAACCCGATGCCCACTTCTCTTGAGTGAAGGGAGAAGCTCTGCTAATGCCTTCACCAACGGAAAAGCACACTCAAATGAAACTAATGAATAACATTCAGATGGAAGAGAGAGAAAGAGAGGAAATAAAAGATACCTGGCATTTAGCTGAAAGCATAACATGTTCATCGGAAAGAGTTCCTTTACCACCAGTAATTCCATAGCGAAGTAAAAGCTGTATTAAGGATGTTTAAACAGATATATGAATGCCAAACCAGAACAGAGAATTTATGATTTTGGTCACAATTAGATTTTAAATTGAAAAGGGCATTCTCAGCATAAACTTGCAGTTAAATTGTAGTCATTAGGCAGAGAAGAAGAATAAATAGTAATCTATACACAAAGGTACACTAACATGCTATCTGGAAAGATAAGTTCAAATCCGAACAATCATGCTTGTACCCACCTTAATATCATGATTACATAATAAAGGCATTTTCAAATGAAAGTACAGCAAAACTGGAACGGTGGCATGTAACACCCTAAGCACTCAATGCTGAAGGGAGGGAGTACACAGAAAGAACCAAAAATAGTTTCTTTATTAGATGTGCCTAATGTCCATTGGGGTCTTCAAATTACAGAGCAATCGTTTGGTAACAACATTAAGGTTTAAAATGAGTAAAATTTTGGGATCAATAGCATCAGAGAAGGTAATCAATACAGCAATAATTTTGCAGTTCATTGGATTCATGAGGGTCTGATTAGAACTGAAACAAACACCATCATTTCCAAACAGGACTTAATTGAATTTGTAACCAAATGAGCCATCCAAAAGAAAACTCAGCAAATAAAGTATGTATTAATTTCCACATTTAACTTGTTTAACTGTGCCATAATAAGAACTATACTTCTCATTATCTTTGAGAAATATGTAGGTCTTGGCATGCTAAACATGATATGCATGACTACACTATATATACATATGGATGACCAAGCTTGGCTGTGGTGAATATCACGAGGCACCATCCATCTACCTAAAGTTTTGGCAATTGATCCATTCCACAACATCATATGACCTAACGTGCTTCAACCTCATGGCTCAAAGGAGAAAAGAGGACCCAAATTGGAAGACCAGATAAATCCAAAATGAACTTAGAGCAGAGCTACCTCAAGAACATATATGACAAAAGACAACATTAGTCTAACATAATTGCTGAAATTGTCAGAGATTGCAAACACGTTCTTGAGCACTCACAAAGCAAATTAAGCTTTTAGACCGACTACTTAAATACCGTTCAAACCCTGAGTTTGCTAATTCCGATTTCAACATAAGGTCAATGATGGGCTCCAATTTGGTCCACACTTTCAAATCCAACAGGCTTGCATGAAGAGAACACGTTGGCAGTTAAACCCTATTTCAAGCACTCACCTCAGAACTTAAGCTTTTAGGTTGAATCAATCTGGAAGTGTTATTATACTACAAAACAACTATAAAATATGTTTACTACTAAAGTAAGGGAACAATAGGGCTAATTGCAGAAAAGAAAACTAAAACATAGTTTTCATAACGAGTGGAAAAACTGAGTAGGAAACATGCAAATAGAATGAAGAGCAACAGCCAACCATCATGCAATGCTGATAATTCACAGATATTCTAATCCTTTTCTTGTACTTACAAGTCTCCTTGTTAATCCTATTCTATCTCTTATACAACTTTCACAAAACATTTCCATTTCCTATTCTAAAATATTTCAAATATGTCTCCACCAGCTAATGTCTTCAGCAGTCATAAAAGTTGTGTTTACATGTAAACATTGAATGACTCTAGTTTCTTGAAAAAGAACCAAGGAATGAACACAATTATTAAAAAAAAAAAAAAAACACTACCGTGCAAATGTGACAAATGGTAATCATAGCAAGTCTGAAGTCTTGAAAACAGGAAAAGGAAAATTCTTCATGGAAAGAATTACCTGATGAATAGAGAAATCATTGTAATTCTTTAGTTCCTCAATTACTCTGTCCAAGGTACATTCAAAAACACCCATTGAATATAACCTTTTAGCAAAGCGAACAACATCCTTATCGTTATAAATCCGCCTCACTAACAATGGATGATTTGCAATCTAGATAATTTCAAAACAAAGAAATTAGGTTTAAGCAATGGGGACCCTTTTTCAAATTAACTGCATGGCAAGGGAAAAATAAGGAATATAAATGAAGCACCTTTCGAAACTGAACAAAATAGTTTGAGATCTGACGTCGAGGAAGAACTCCAACAATATTATTCATGTCAGACTCTGAAAGCTTTGCTATGCGTGCTCGTGAAATTGTACGATACTCCTCTATTGCTTCCCTATATGCATCATCTTGTTGCTTTTCCATAATTACATACTCAACCTGAAGAAGTGATATTTAGCTCCTCCAGTATACTGAAACAGTTAATGCTAGAAAGTAATTTTCAAATCAAAGTCCCTCAAGAAAGAAAACCTCAATATCTAATTAAAAACCTCAAAGTAAAAAAGCATCTACCCGTTGTATCTTTGGGACAAGTTGCTGCATCACATCTGATTTCAAACGCCTCAAGATGAATGGTCCCAAAATGGACTTCATGCGACTAATCAACTCCCTATCTTCTGCATTTAGTAGCTTCTTCAAGTCTACATCCTCAGTGGCAAAAAGATCAGGCATCATGAACTCTAACAATGACCACAGCTCCTACAACAAAAATCAATACACTCAGCAACAACAATATAACATATTGAAGACTATGAAGCATGTTCAGAAAAAATATCTTCTAATGCTTTTACTATTACCTGCATTTTATTGTGACAAAAAAAATCTTATCAGAAGCTTTTACGATCACAGAACAGGCATTTCTTACAAAAATTGAGTTCCATTGGCAGCAAAAAAAATACAAAACATTAAGACACAAAAGACTTTGTTATCAAAATCAGAAATTCAATGCATGATTCATGGAGTTGAAATATGGTTGTAATAATGCACACTTTGCAAGGATAAGCATTTCTCTCTTTTTTTTTCCCTTACTAAATTTCATTATCTTTGAAAAAATCAAGTTCATTAAGACTGCAGTTTTTAATTGATAAAATTTCAGCACTAAATTTAAATTCTCATTGATAACTGTGAGCCATATCACTCACAAGCTGCACCGTAAGACCAAAATGCTCAGCAATCATAACTTAAAACACTTTCTGATTCTAAAATTATTTTAGGACAGAGGAAAAAGGTAAGAGTACATGTAAATCATTTTGCAGAGGAGTGCCTGTTAGCATAAGACGCTGGTTTGCATTTCGGGCAACTGACATTAGATTTTTCCACCTATAGCTGTTCTTGTCCTTTAAAGCATGGGCCTCATCCATTAGCACACAGCTCCAATGCCAACGTTTCAGAATTTTACGATCATCCTTCTGCTGCACACTGTAGAAACCACTAATAAAAAAGGCAAGCGCACGCACACGCACACACACACACACACAAACAAACAGAATAGGAAATAAACAAAAAAACCCAGTTAACAACAAAGTATACCTGTGTCTTTCAAAAAGTGAATAACACACAAGAAGAACATTAAATGGAGGTGGTAATCCAGCTTTGGACAAATAACTCAACTCTTTTGAGTAAGCTGCTCGGCCAGCACCATGATACTGAAGTACAGAAAAAGAGGGGCACCACTTCTTAAGTTCTCTTTCCCAGTTTTCCAAAAGTGAGGCAGGACAAACTATTAGATGAGGACCAGGATCATTTTTCAGATGTTTCAGCAAAGTTAGATATGTAATAGCCTGTAGAGAACAGCAATTTAGTCTAATAAAAATGAAATCAGAAAGGATTATTGAGGGAAACAAATTAGGGTTTAAGTACCTGAATGGTTTTCCCAAGACCCATCTCATCTGCCAATATAGCTGCAGATATACAAAAAGATATAACTAATCCTTCCAAATTACACCAATGATCTAAAATTAAAACATAGACAAATATAAAATTAGAGCCTTAAGTTACTAACTAAATATTTTCCCACCTAAATCTCTTACATAACTGCCCCAAGAGGCAGCACCAATAACTTAGGAAATGAATTTGACAAATGAAATAAAAACAACTAAAAAAATTGAAGATAGAGTAGCAGAATAATTGCAGAATTGGATCAAATCAACAAGATCTTACAATCAGCATCCAAAATTATTAGAGAAATATCTACATGTACAACAGTATTGATGTACATGTACAACAGATACAAGACAGCAAGAAAATTGGAAGGCCCAGACTACTTTAGTATCAGTATATGGCATCGGAAAGCAAAAGAAACAACCATTCCTTGTTTGGTTTATTCAAAATCAGATGGAGCAATAAGACCCAACCCTTTCAAATTCTTGTCACAATTAACAGAACATTGGTGTCAAAAGCTTAGAACAACTACCTCCTCCAATACCCTTACGATGCAACAGAAGAAGAAAGTTTACACCAACCAGTTGATATGGCTTGAGAACTGGCCGAAAATCCGAAACCACCACCCCACATGCTACATCAATATCATTCTGCAAGAGTAAGACGTATTCCAATTTATAAACAATCCTATTTGGCAGCAAAAAGTTGATGTGGAAAAGACAATGCCTTTATACACTCCCCAATTTCCATTATCTAGTATCTCAAAACAACTGGCTCCCCTCGAACAAATATACAAATGAAATTTAAAACGACACAATTTGCATCTATTGTTGTAATTTTCATTAAACTACAGCTTAAACAAAAAGTATAATCACAAAAATTCACCAAATTAAGTTCACCTGAACTTACTATAACCTTTTGCAATTTCATAGAGCTTTTTTTTAATTACAAAAATTCGACTGATCACTTGCCTTTCCTGCCTCAATTTTCTCACTAACCAAACAGAAAAATAAAACGTTTTCAATTCTTAAAAAAATAAAAAATCACCTGCGTAACGATTCCCACAGAAGAAGCTTCTACTTCGGCGTATTGTTCACAAGAAGCATTGGAACTCCCGTAGAGTTCCTTCCGAAGCTCCGCCGATATTTTTGCACACTTCTGCAACGCCTTCCCTACTACGTCATCCTCTTGCAATTCCACCTCTTCACTCGAATCTACATCATACACTTCCTCATAACCATTTTCATCGCTGTCCTTCTCGTCGTCATCGTCGTCGTCGTCTTCAACCACGAATCGACGGGCACGGTTGACCCGGCCGGCATCCTCGGCGTCAACATCTTCGTCTTCCAAGTTGGAGTCGTCCTCCACTTGTTCTACTTCGACGCAATCGTCGCTGCTTTGGTCGGAAAAACTAGCCTGAGGTTGGGAACTGAAAGCGAAAGATTCAATTGGCGGAGGGTTAGGGTTTTTCTTTAAAACACGTGAAGGCTTGAAAGAATGGTTCTCCCATTCTTCGTCTGAGATTTCGTCGAAAACACGCTTCATTTTTTTTTTTAATTTTCCTTTTAATTTAATTTTTCATTTTTTTTTGTCACAATTTTTGTGTTATGTGCGGAGAAGAGAAGAGAAGAGAACAGAAGAGAACAGAAGGGAAGCGAAATGAAGAGAGGGAAGAGGGCGAGTGTTGACGAGACAGGATCTAACTTTTTAAGAGAATTGATCGTAAAGGCAGACAGAGGAGAGAGGGAGTTGATAATTCAATAGTAAAATATTAAAGTTTGTATATTTACGTATTATTTTATATAAAAATTATGTGATAAATATATTTTTATTTTATTAAATTTATTTATAATTATTATTAAAATTTTAAATTATATTATTTTTTATTTTATTATCGTATCATATTTATATTATATTATTATATTATATTTTAATTATTAAATCTAATTAAAGTGATCATTTATATTTTTTATATGAATTAAGCGAAATAATAACAAATATGATATATATTAAAATTTAATAAAAAATTAAACATAAATTTAATAAATAAAAAATATATTTTTTATATTAACATAAATTTTAAATAAATTATAATATAAATATTTAAATTATCAATATTTTATATAATATAAATACATAAATTATAAATTATCTTTTTTATGTTAGATTAGGAAAGCAATAAATACATAAATTATTAATTATCCTTTTTTATGTTAGATTAGGAAAGCCAAATCTTAATATAAGTAAAAAAAAAAAATTTGATTCGAAATTATATATTTGATGTTCTCTTAAACACTTTTAACTATTAAATTAAAATTAAAAATATAAATATATAAATTATCAAATTTAATAATAAATTATCTTATTTTTTACTAAAATATTATTTATCTAAAAAAAAAAAATTCAAAATCTCATGCTCCAAAAAATAGTTTGCTCAACTCATTGATTGAAGGAATTAAATAACTGATTTTTATGAGCTTGCCCACAAAATATTTGTTACAAGTGGAATTTATGAAATTGAGCCAAAGTTACGTACCAAAAGGAAAAGATTAGGCTAAAGTTTAGTTGGTGGGCTTTGTTGGATTGGATTAAGAATCAAAGCCCAATAAAGACATTTGTTTTAGATATTACTTCACGGAATCGGTAATATTCCTTTCCGATCCCAGTTATTTATCCAGTTTACAGAAATACCCCTACCTTTCTGATCTTACCAACCCACCTGAGGAGGACAAACTGGTGATTTCACTCTCGAACTATAAATTAGATCACACCGACCTGAAAACTTATTGTTATTTAAAAAACATAAAAGAAGGCCTTTTTGTTTCTCCGAACAGGATTTGGATTGTAAATCTATAAATTCCCATAATGTGACCCTCACCTATCTCTTTGATTTTTTCTTGAATTCGACAGTGAATTTCAGCTGAATTTAGCTGCCTAGGGCTTTGGATTTGGATTTGGGGAATTTGAGGAACGAAAACAAGGGCAAATGGATGGAGTGTTGTCTGCTAGTGATAAACAGAGCATGGTCTCCTCCTTTCTCGAGATTGCCGCAGGTCAAACTGCCGAGACCGCCATGCAGTTTTTACAAGTACCCTTTTCTTCTCAAACTTATTTTTTTTGCATTTATGATATAAAGTTTGAATTTTTTTTTAATATTCAAGGTTGTCCACAATGTTAAAGTTTGTGAATGTTTTTTTCCTTTGTTTCTTTTCCTTTGAGTTATATGCTGGTTTTGAGTTCCGGGTTTTAACCGAATGTCGGGTTTTTATGTGTTTGACTGAAGAATTTTTAGGAATAGTTAAGATTGAGTAGTTGGTGGATTGGATTTAGTAGTTTGATCTTAAATTCTTAATGGGTTTGGGATTCGATTGGTAATGCTGAGGCAATCTTTAAATAATGCTGAGTTACTGGGAGTCATTTGTATTTGTGGAAAACAGGCAACAAGTTGGAATCTGGATGAAGCTATTCAACTATTTTATGTCGGTAATGAAGGTGGTGTGCTTGCATCAGCTTCAGAGTCTCCAGCAATGGAAAACTTGGATTCTTGGGTTGATCAAAATTCTTGGTTAGAGATCTGAATTAGTTTTCACTCTAAATTATTACCTAATTGTTTGTTTAAATATTTACTGATGTTATTGTTATTGGCTTCTTTAATTGTTCAGTGAGTTGGAGTCCGGAAATAATAATGTTGTACCTGCTGGTGGAGACGAAGTGCGCGCTCCTTTACCTGTAGTAAGGGAGACACTTTATGATGATACCATGCTATATAGGTATGTCTCAGGCTTTTTATTTCTAATAGCTTGCTGGTTGCAGTTTATTTTCTTTTAGGTGAAGTTGAAAATGTGTATGTTGGTTTATCCTTTATAGTTATACTTTTACCTTTTTGTGTGTCCGCCATGCGTGCATGCATGCTTATATTGTGTTTAGCTGTTGTATGATTTGGAGATATATTCTTCTCTATTTTCCTAACACTTCATCATGTGGTAAAATTTCATTTTCTAATCTTCATCCAGGGCATCAAGGTTGGGATATCCTCCCCAACAGTTGAGTTCATTAATTGCATTCCGTAATTTTGAGGAGGAAATCAAACGTCCTGGGGTTTGGGAATCAGATGAAGGTGCTTCTTCCACAGTAGATGCTCCTCAAGATAATCTTGCCACCTTATATCGTCCTCCTTTTCATCTGATGTTCCAAGGACCATTCGAAAAGGTAAATTGTTTTTCTTAACATTTTCTATTCTATATGATTTATACATTTTCTGTTATCGTTGAATTAATTGAATTAGCAGCATTAAGTTTTATTGGCTCGTTTTGAGAAGTATAGTCATATAAGTGTTGCAAAATATTGAATCCCTCAAGATTTTAACGAGTATAGACTGACTGAAGTGCAAGCTGTGGAAAGAAGAAAAATTAAACTTTTTTGTGATAATTTAATTTTATTATCTAAGTGCCTTGATTAAGTTTTGATCTTTGCTCAAATGTTTAGTAAAGGATTTGATCAGCAATTTGTCTCAATCAAGGATTTCATTTTTCCTTTCCCTCTCTTTTTACTTCTTGTTTCCTGCTTACCCTGTTTCTATCTTCAAGAAGGCTTGTCATGGTTTTGGGTCCACCAACCTAACAAAGAAGAAGGTGGAAAGATGAAACTAAAATTGCCATGTCTTACCATTCAACCAGCACTTGCATTTTCTGGTTATGAGGCTTGCCTTAGCAAACCTAATGGAATCTGTTAAGTCATGATCTCCCTTGTTCGACCATGTAGTGTGTAGCACAAGACTAGCCTTTAGTATAACCTTGTTTTGGAAATAAATAAAATTGATACTTAACGGGTTAATAGTGGGCTAGAAAACTTGGTTTTTGAGACTGCCTTTTCTATTTATTTCTCAATTTTTAAAGTCAATTCAATTTAACCAAGAGTTATGTGTCTATGGTGGAGGCAAAAGCTGCTGCATCTGTTGAGGACAAGTGGCTCCTTGTGAACTTGCAATCTACCAAGGAGTTCAGCTCACATATGGTATTGTTTGAGTCTTCCCTTTTTGCTTTAGTTAAAACTAAGAAGTATTTACTTTGTTCCCTGGGTTTGAAGTGGCTTAAAATGTAATCTAATTTTGTGATGTTATATGCTTTTTTGAAGCTTAATCGAGATACATGGGGAAATGAAGCAGTTTCTCAAACCATTAGCAGCAACTTTATTTTCTGGCAGGTTAGTATGATGCTTTTAGTTGTCTTTGCCTTGTTTGCCTGTTTCCTCTCTTCATAGACTGTCAATCTTTTAGGCTATATTCTATTCGGATTTTTAGCTTTAGTTTCTTTTCTTTACAGACGGTATTGCGTCTTTAGGAATGTTTCATGAACTCTCATAATAATTTGCTTGTGCTTAAATTTACAAGATTCTTAAATGATATGGATTGTAGTCTTGAAGTGTGTTTTGATAAGGAGAAATAGGGATTGGTTGTCAATGTGTTCTAATTGCAATTTGTATTTTCTTTGTTTTTTTTTCCTAAAATAGGAATTTGGTATGATACTGCAATTTTTATTAGCAAACATAGATGGAAAAATCAAAATAGCCTTGTAGACAACTACTGAATCTTATTGTGTATATGTCCTTAGGAGCCGGAACTTCTTAAGCACTGATTGGCATATATTTCCTTAGCAGATCTCTATATCATACATTTGAATCTGTATCTTGTTTCCTATATGCTTCATTTGATTGATACTGTTTTATGGATATAGGTATATGATGATTCAAGTGAGGGCAGGAAAGTTTGCACCTATTACAGGCTAGATTCGATTCCTGTAGTGCTTGTTATTGACCCAATCACAGGACAGAAAATGCACTCCTGGTGTGGAATGGTTCAACCTGAGAGTTTGCTGGAGGTATATATTGGCAACAGAAATTGCACATTGCAATTCCTTAGGAAAATAAGCAAAAATGAAGATGAATTACTTTTAAAGAAGACTAATAAAACTTCATATTTATAGTAGTTGAAGACAATTTTCAACATATGGCTTTTGTGATTTGATAAAAAAATGTATTTTAAACTGTAGGACCTCGTTCAATTCATGGATGGTGGCCCAAGGGATTATCATGCAACTCTGTCTCATAAACGTCCAAGAGGAAGCTCAGTTACACCACAACAAAAAGTTAAAGGTAATCATATATGTTGAAGGTAATCATATATCTATCTCTCCTACACCAATTTAAAGTTTACCAGTAGAGCAGTAGCAGCTTCTATGGAGAACGTGAAAGACCCTATTAAAACTTCAGATGATAAAGTTTTATCCACTACTGACAAGGAGGAACCATGCTCGAGTGAGAAACCTACATATCCACCTCTTCCTGAAGAACCTAAGGCTGATAGGAACCTCTTATGTAGGGTTGGAGTCCGTCTTCCTGATGGACGTAGGGTACAGAGAAACTTTCTCCGTACTGATCCAGTACAGGTGAGCATACTTTTGGGAGCTTATGTTTCTTTTTCCTTTACTGTGATTTGTTACCATTTATATATTTTAGTATTTGGTTTGTTGTGTTTAACTATGGATTTCCTTGAATGATCCTAGTCTGAGCAAAGAATTTGTATATTTAACTATATTTGCTTTTTTGGCCAACAAAAAATATATATAAATATATATATATATATATATATATTTGCTTTCGATGCTTGCTGTAAGAAGGCATACCATCAAAATGTGTTGAACTGATTTGCAAATGTTGTGGCCCATAACAAAGATGACAAAATCTTGGCATCTAAACATGGGCATCAATGAATCGTTTGAACTAATCTTTCCTCAGATTCCTTCCCCCTCTACACCTTGTTCTTTCTCTCCCAAAGTAGTTTACCTTGTACATTTGAACTAAGAGAATTCAGGTGATGCATTGACTGACATGTATACCAGTTTAAACTAGTATGCATCTTTAAGATGGATATCTTGTGCTATCACTTTTGGGGTGTAGGGACCTTTAGATTTAACTTGAAAATTTAGAACAAAATGTGTATTGTTTCTTAGGCAGAATGATGGACTAACGTCCAATCCTCAGGACTGTCTTAATTGATGGGTTTATACTTGTTTCTCGTTTCTTTTTGTCATTTTGCAGCTACTGTGGTCATTCTGCTATATTCAACTTGGTGAAGCTGAATCAAAGCCATTCCGCCTGACCCAACCGATTCCAGGAGCTTCAAAATCTCTGGATTATGATAGTAAATTAACATTTGCCGAGTCAGGTCTCGCCAATTCAATGATATCAGTTGCATGGGAATGAATATTGTGAAGTCAGCAGTGGGTTTCAATGTATATAATACTCAGTACTCTTATGTCTTCAATACTTTTGATTTCTTTTGCCAGAGGGTCATTAACTCGTTCAATAAAACTATTTGATAATAGTGTAAATTCAGATCAGTTGATTCGTATAAATATTTTTAAGAAGTGATATTACTATTTTTTTATTTTATCAAGGTTTTTAAATCTAGTGATTCTTGTATTTATATTGTATAAAATATTAAAATTTATATATTTGTATCATATTTTATACATATATTGTTTCACAATTTGTACTAACATAAAAATACAAAATATATTTTTTTAGTTTTATTAAATTCATATATAATAGTTATTGATAAAATTTTACATTGTATTATTTTCGTGTTTTTTTTTATATTTGTATCTTATTATTATATTATATTTTTAATTATCAAATCTAATTACTTCTTTTAAAAAAAAAATTAAATTGACAAACTTTAAATTAAATAGGAAAGGTCAAAGTTTTGGATAAAGTTGATGGCAGCCTAACTAACTCTATTAATACATACTATGTGTTATTTTAGTAAAATTGCTTAATGATTCGGAACTTCAAAGTCAAGTGTTGTTTACTCCAACCATGCACGCCAAATGAGAATGGGTCATAGGGAGAACATATAATTATGTCAGCTGCTCCGACATTGAACTTTGGCAACGCGTTAATGGCAGAAAACAATGACCTAGACAAACACCAACCATCACAATGCCCTATAAATATGAAGAAGAGCTACATGCTCTCTCACTCATCCCTCATTTTCTCAGCCTTGCCTGTGTTATCAAAATTAATCAAAAAATAATTCACGTGAAAGAACGTAAAAAATGACAACAGCTGTTAGAAATTCTTTGTCATCTGTAGCAAGTAGAGCTGCTGTTTTGGTGATGCTGCTGGTTTTTATGAGCAGCGGAAGCCATGCACAGCTTTCTTCTACATTTTATGAAAATACATGCCCCAATGCACTGAGTACCATTCGCACTGCCATCAGAACCGCCATTGCGAGGGAGCGTAGAATGGCTGCATCTTTAATTCGCCTTCATTTCCATGATTGTTTTGTTCAGGTGCTTGTATTATGTCGTTGTAATTTAACATCCTGCCCATATTACCAACAAATGAATGATCTTAACGGGGTCTTTTGCCTGTTATCAGGGATGTGATGCCTCAATCTTACTAGACGATGCCCCCTCAATCACAAGCGAAAAGAATGCACTGCAAAATAAAGACTCTGCGAGAGGTTATGAAGTCATTGACAAGGCAAAATCTGATGTGGAGAAAATATGTCCTGGAGTTGTATCTTGTGCTGACATTCTCGCAGTTGCAGCCAGGGATGCATCAGAATACGTATGTAACTCAATATTCAAACCTTCCTTTACGAAATCTTGATGATCATATCTCACTTTTCATCTCCAGTTTCCCATATCGAATGTATATTCACCCTTAGAACATCTCTTCAAACAAACTCAGGTGGGAGGCCCATCTTGGACAGTTAAACTCGGGAGAAGAGATTCTACCACTGCAAGCACAAATCTGGCTGCCAGTCAACTTCCTCTCTTCACAGCCAGCCTTGAAAGCCTTATTGATCTCTTCGGAAGAAAGGGGCTTAGTGCAAGAGACATGGTTGCTTTGTCAGGTTCGTTACGAAATTATTTTCATAGTTTTCCTTGTCAATGACCAATATTGAGCGTTACTCCATTAATTTGCAGGTTCTCATACAATAGGACAGGCTCAATGTGTTACATTCCGGGATAGGATATACAGTAACGGAAGTGACATCGACGCTGGATTTGCAAGCACACGCAAGCGCAATTGTCCAGCTAACTTTCCCAACGGCAATGGGAATTTGGCTCCACTTGATTTGGTGACTCCGAATTCCTTTGACAACAACTACTTCAAGAACCTGTTGCAAAAGAAAGGTCTTTTGGAGTCAGATCAAGTGCTTTTCAGCGGTGGATCCACAGATAACATTGTCTCAGAATACAGCAGGAACCCTTCTATTTTCAAGTCTGATTTTGCAACTGCCATGATCAAAATGGGAGATATTGAACCTCTAATAGGTTCAGCAGGGATAATAAGGAGGATTTGCAGCGCTGTCAACTAGTTGATATGCATCTTCAGCTTTGTGTGTTTCCTTTTTTCTCTTGATTACTTTTATTCTTTCAAGTGTAAAGTAGTAGCAATGTTTTTTTCTGTTTAATTTTTTTGTGTACTTTCGTTAATGTGATTCTCTTCAATCGAATAATAATAACTGTATTGAAGACGAGATATACCTATAGCTAGAATTCTATTTGATCAGTTGAGTTGATGCACGTTATATATTTTGTTTGATATTAAATTTAATTATCGAAATTAAGAGTTTAATATTTTATTTATAAATCGTGCAAATATCGGTATATTTTTTTTAATTTGACCCATGAGATGTTTGTGCATTACTTTAAAAAAAAAAAAAATCATTTCAACGATAAAATATATATCTTGTTTGACTTAAATATAAAAAAAGTCCTTAAATAAAAAAATAATTATTCAAAGTCATATTATTTTATTGTAATTAATTAAATTTTTAAATGAGTGTTGACAGTTAATTAATTTTCATTTAATAAAAATTTAATTAGTAAAATAGATATTTGAAATTTTAATTAATTATAATAAAATGATAAGAGTTTATATGATTATTTATTTTAATTCAATAACCTTTTTTTAAAAAAATGTTTTTATTTGTATTTCATTAGCCGAAGATTTAAAGAAAAAAATGTTTTAATGAAAAAAAAATTATAATTCAAATGAAATATCCATTTGTCTCATGAAAACTGTTATTGTTTGACTTTTTATAATCATTTTTAAATTTTGATTTAATCTATCAATGTTTTAATGAATTAGGTTTAGAAAAGAAATCATTTGAAAACTATTTCATTCAAAATTTTTAAAAATCACTTTTTTACATTTTGATTAATAATAAATTTAAAATTATTATAATAAATCTTTAAAACAATATCTCATGACCTACGTAATTTAACAAGTTTGTATCAATAATTTACATTGAATTGATTAGCTCCAATTAGAGACCAAAGAGATAAAATCCTCCACGAAACTTTGCAAACACCTTGATGAGCAAGATTATTTACTATAGAAAAAAATCCAAGTCTTGAATAAAATAAAATTATATATATATATATATAGTATATGCTTAGAAAGATATATATCAAGTGAAAAACGTATTAAATGTTGATGCTGAGTTTCAAATTGAGGTAAAATTAGATGTGTAAATGATATATTAGTACTCATAAATTATTCGAGTTTGATTCGAATAAAATTCAAATTCGATTCAATTATTATCAAGTCGAGTTTGAGCTCGAGTAGCTTGATTTATCGATCGAGTCGAGTTTGAGTATTTTTATGCGCGACTTGAGTAGCTCGCGAACCTAATCGAGCTTTTATATTTAATTTTTTTATTATTTTAATTAATAAAATATCTCGAATTCGAATTCGAACACAAATAATCGAACTTTTGTCGAATATAAAAATCGAGCTTATTTTAACATATTAATCGAGTTTAATCGAAGGAGTTCGAGTAGCTTAATTTCGATCACGAATCAAACTCGAATTAAAAAAATGAAACTCGATCGAGTTCGAGTTTAGTATCGAGCCTCGAGTTGAAAGTCGAACTCGAATTTAAACTTCTCACTGTATCAATTCAACTCAACTTGATTACACTCTTAAATAAAATTCTAAAATAACTAGAAAGAGAAAGAGAGCGATATATTTTATTATATTTATATTTCGACATTCAAGCTAAAAATAAAAAAAATTAAAAGGAGTGAAAGATAAAATAAAAAAAAAAAAAAATCAAATCCTTATATTGAAGAATTTTATTTATAAGTGAAAGGTGAAAGATTTAAAAGATAGACGAAAATATAATTAATTTGACGTGATTTAATATTACAAATTAATCTGATATATCATATCGATTAAAAAATTCAAAAATTTAATAACAACAATTTTTAATAAAAAGAATTATCAAAATAACTTTTAGATCTAAAATTATCTCAAACACAAACCAAATAATGTGCCATTCTTGAACTAAATATCATTTTTTTTTTCTTCTTATTTTGATACGATCTGTTTACTTCAAAATGTGAGCTGCGGTCACCATCAAACTCGAGACGCAACTCAAACATTCAAAGGATGCTAGCTTCAGCTTGGTTGCCAGTTTCGGAAAAGCTATTTGGAACACACCTGTAAATATACAAATAATATATTATCATTATTATTACCACCAAATCTTTTGTGCCCACTTATATGGAAAATGCCAAAGTGCACGAAAAAGTTAATGGCTGCCTTTCTGTTCATAATGATGTTTAAGAGTTTGGAATTTCAAAGTCAAAGTTTTTCTCTTTACTCAATGGAAGCCATTTGCGAATGGGTCATAATCAGATAATCATACAGAGAATATTAATGTCTGCTGCTCCAAATTTGAATATTGCTAAAGCTACATAGCAGAAATTGGTGATTTCTTTTTGCCCAAAAAAATGCTTGGATAAATGGAGACTTGTTCATTTCAGAGTCACGAGAAATTACAAACTTTAAAGAAAACTTAAACTAAATTTACACATCAGATTATTAACAACGAATTTTATGAATTGAAGTATTCGAATTTTATCGATTCATATGTCTGAAAATGGTGATTTAGACAAACTCAAATTGACCTCCTTTCTATACAATGCCCCCATATATTGAAGAAAGCTAGAGCTTCCTTTGTCATCCTCCTTTCTTCAATCTTTTTATCTAGCTAGCTGGTGTCTTTAACAAATCTGAACTCAGCTTTCGTATTCGTGATTGAATAGAAAAATGGTAATTGTAGATGTTAAAAATTCTTTGTCATTCATGGCAACTGGGGCTGCTGTTGTGGTGTTGCTGCTGCTTTTGAGCAGTGCTTGCCAAGCACAACTTTCTTCTACATTTTATGAAAAAACATGCCCAAATGCACTTAGGACCATTCGCTCAGCCATCAGAACCGCCATTGCACGAGAGCGTAGAATGGCTGCATCTCTAATCCGCCTTCATTTCCATGATTGTTTTGTTCAGGTACTTGTATTACATCGTTTTAATTTAATATCCTGCCCATATTACCAACAAATGAATGATCTTTTGGGGGTCTCTTTGTGTGTTACCAGGGATGCGATGCCTCAATCTTACTGGACGATGCTCCCTCAATCACAAGCGAAAAGAATGCACTGCAAAATAAAGACTCTGCGAGAGGTTACGAAGTAATTGACAAGGCAAAATCTGATATGGAGAAAATATGTCCCGGAGTTGTATCTTGTGCTGACATTCTTGCAATTGCAGCCAGGGATGTCTCCGAATACGTAAGTAACTCAATGTTAAAACCTTCCTTCCGAAATCCTGATGATCATATCTCTCGTCTCATCTCAGTTTTCCATATGGAATGTTCACCATTATGATATGGTCTCTTCAAACAACTCAGGTGGGTGGCCCATCTTGGACGGTTAAGCTCGGGAGAAGAGATTCTACCACTGCAAGCATAAGTCTGGCTGCCAGTCAACTTCCTCGTTTCACAGCCAGTCTTGAAAGCCTCATTGATCTCTTCGGAAGCAAGGGCCTCAGTGTAAGAGACATGGTTGCTTTGTCAGGTTTGTGAAGAAATTATTTTAACAAAATCCACCTGTCAGACTTCATTTTCTTTCGTCAATGCATGACCAACGAGCATGAATCCATTTTCAGGTTCTCATACCATAGGACAAGCTCAATGCGTTACATTTAGGAACAGGATATACAGCAACGCAAGTGACATTGATGCTGGATTTGTTAGCACACGCAGGCGCCGTTGCCCCGCCAGTGTCGGCAATGATGATGGAAATTTGGCAGCACTCGATCTGGTTACGCCCAATTCCTTTGACAACAACTACTTCAAGAACCTGATGCAAAAGAAGGGTCTCTTAGAGTCAGATCAAGTCCTGTTTAGTGGTGGATCCACAGACATAGTCTCCGAATATAGCAGGAATCCTTCTACTTTCAAGTCTGATTTTGCGACTGCCATGATCAAAATGGGAGACATTGAACCTCTAACAGGTTCAGCTGGTATAATAAGAAGGATTTGCAGTACTGTCAACTAGTCCAGCGATGCTTCTCCTCATGTCATGTGTGCCATGTAAATTAAATTTATTAATTGTAAATTGAAAAACCGAGACATCACCATCGAAGTATTATTTGTTTTAACTGAGTGATCTCATAATTCTGTCCACAAATAAATGTCTTATAATATTGAATACAAATCTTTACATATATATATATATATATTTTGTTAGGAATAATTTTAAGTTCAAATGGCATTTTGGCCATTCTTCTTTTTTAAAAATTATCATCAAATAATCAAAAATATTTTAAATTTTTTGATCAATTTAACATATTACATCAATTTACAATATTGATCTCATATCAACTCGATTATCTCGTTACTCATTCCTCAAAACCTTCACCTCTATGTACTATTGAAGCATCTGACTTTTCTTTTAGTTTACCTTATTTTTCTCTTATTTTTATCTCCCTTATTCCGATCTGATTTGAGCATTGGAATGCAAAGATAGAGTATCCCTTACCTTTGTCCTCTAACTGCTCACTTTCTCTCTCTGATTATTCTAAGATTTTACTTTCAATATGAAGCTTGGCACTGATATATATATATATATATATATATGTATATATTATATAATAGATTTTTGTAAACTTTTAGTATAAGGTTTAAGGGTGTGACATAAACAAACTAATAAGACACTTAAAAAATTAGAATGTCCTGATCCAGAATCCATCTAAATAAAAAATGAACTGAAATTCAGATTTTTCGTGGGATATAACCCAACATTTCATGACACCAATCCAAAACATTAGTCCAAATCTAAACCGACCTATCCAAACAAGTTTTAATATTAGGTTTATTACTTAAATATGTCCTCAAGCTTTTTTTACAAAAAAATATAAATTCTCGATTTTTAATTACATTTAAATAAATTTAAAATCTTTTATTTAGCTATAAATAAATTCATAAACTTTTAAAATTATATTAAAATGTTTAATTCGTTCATTAAGTTATAATTTGTATTGAATAGGTGACATCCCACGTAAAAAATGATGTGTAAAATGACATTTATGACATGTTATTTTGATTAAAAAATAAAAAAATAATAGTGCAATAACACATATTACATTTTAATTAAAAAATACAAAATGTAATAATATTTTAATTTTGTTTGTAAAATTTTAAAAAATTCATTATTAATGAATAAAAATTACTCATAATATAATATTTTTAATTTTAAAAATTTATATTTAATATATCACTAATTTATAAATTTTATATACGATTATTAAATTATACGAAAGGCTGATTTTGGACATGGGCAATCTTTTAAGAAGCCCAAAACGACATTTGTTGCCCATTTGATTTGTGAACGTTGGTTTTCTCAACCGGAGAAGTATCAGAAAACAGGTGAAGATCAATGGAGTGCGCCGGAAAGGGAAGTGGAACTCGGTGCTTAGGTCCGCCCAGAAAGCGCTGCGGTCGGTGTGGAGCCGTTGCTTATTGCTCTGCGTCTCATCAGGTGATTGAATTTCGAAGTATTTGAATAAATTTCTCAACATATTACCTTTCATGTTGTTATTTCTACTTTAAAGGTATAATTTTTATCTGTAACGGAATGGCCCTTAGATTTCACACTGGAAGGAACATAGAGAAGAGTGTGAAAGGTTAGAGCAGCAAATGAAGCACTTAGATTTGTTGAATGATTTTCCTTTCACGTTTTCTCAAGAAGCTACAATTCAGGTTATTGACAACTTGCTTGAAAAAGGGTTATGAAACATTGAATTTAAACTTGTATTAGACTTAATTGACTTAGTTTTGTGCTTTGTTTTGGGGGTATGGTTTTGGTAGATTAGTGAAAAGAAAGAGAGCAGGTGTTCATTCCTGAGCAGGAGGGGCATTCATCAAGTGGGAATGTGGATTTGTGAATGCTCTTGCGGTGCATCAGTTACATCCTTCGATTATTCCAGGTTTCTTCCATCTTTTGATTCTTAACTCTCCAATGATGATAGTTTAAGCCTTGCAAAAGAGTTTGACCCTTGGCATGAATGAGAGAGTAGGGTAGATATACCAAGAAGTTTCTTAGAGGAATGGTTTTATGTGTTGTTATTATTCCCTCCATATTTAATTGTATATCGGTTGTTGGAGTGAGCTTTAGTTGTTAGGTAGACGACAGGTAATCAAAGCTAACTGAAATTAAAAGGCTTTGTCAAAGCAGAAATTCAATGGATGAGGCGAACTTGGTGAAAGGTAAGACATGTCATATGTTTCTAATCCTGAACGGTAGCGGTTCTAATCCAATAAGGGGATACCAAGGTTAATGCAATTCAGAAAATTGATTATAGCATGAAAAGAGGGACGTGTGAACAATAAAAGTGGGTGCATTTTATCTTTTGTATATTTTGGAGTTTTATAGAGTTTCCTGAGCTACAATTAAATGAGAATTTGTACATTTGAATAACAGAAGAATTTTCTGATTAAGCTAGTTGATAACTTATGGCAGTTCAGATTGAAAATTTTTTTCACTTTCTTTTGTCTTTTTAAAACCTTTGTTTGCAGGTCTGAAAGTCACACCTGGAATCTCTCAAATATTCTGTGCCCATGTCGTGGTATCACTTTTTCTTCCAGCAATTTGTTTGGGTCTATTGAATGTTTCTAGAACTAGAATTGACCACGTGATAGTGCAGGGCCTGCATCTCCCATAGCAAAATCTTTGTGCAGTTGGAAGGATTACTATGAATGGAGATGCATACCGCTACATTCACCTGTTGCTTTGCTTCTTCACTGGGTATGAGATGTGTGTTGTGCTTTAACGATCAGTTCACAGTAAATACTTTGCCATTCTAATCAACTGGTGTTTATGGTACATCTGTTACCTGTGATTCTTTTATTCTTGTATGGTGGAAATGGAGGATGGTATTTTTTTCGGTTTCTTTAACTCATGATTAATAATCTTTCAACTTCTGAGATGCTTCACTTTTCATCTGTCTATGTATGTATGAAACAACTTTTTACTGTTTCCATATTCCCAAATTTGTGAGGTTGCAGTTCTACCTTCTGTTCTGAGGAAATCCAAATGCAATTTTTTTTAAGAATAAAAGTTAGAAACTTGTTAGAGGAAATCAATGAACCATTGAATCCAATGCAAACTCGAGTAAATGCTATATTATATAGATGGCTACTGACTACTGGCTAGCATACACAGATAGTCATTTGTCACAGCTTTTACTTTGCCTCATGTTAGCACTAATTACATATCTATTTGCTTATTTTTGTCTCAGCCACTTACAGTGTATCATGCCATACAAATTGCTGGATTGGGAAGCTTGACCTCTGAAATCAGTAAACTGTGCATACACTATCTCGGTACACTATCATCTACAGCTTTTAAATCTCCATGATTTGTGATTTGAAACTTTATCTCCCTTTGATTTGTGTGTGCATGTCTAGGTGTTCAATCAACTATGCACTTAATGGCGGAAATGACCATAGATGCCAAATAGAAACTATTGCTGAGGACTTTCAATGAAAAGAGTATATAATACAATTAAGTAATGATGCATCAAAAAGAAGTACTTGAATTTTTCAAATCTGTCTATTCATGCATGCTTGTGTGGCTTTTTGCTTTTAATTCTTTTTTATATCTTCTGCTAGTGTTATATAATGGGGAACTTTTGTTTATAATAGTAAACTTCTTCATGGTTTCTTTCTATAGTCTTAATATGATTTAGCTAAATTTTTAGTGGTTTTTTTTTTTTTCTTTTTGTGATTTCTACTTTTCAAAGGGCCTGAGAAAGAGCTTCTGCAACTTGCTGTCTTTGGAGAGTTATGTGCACTCTTTCCTGGGGTTCTTGTCCAAATTGAGCTTATTGGACCTGCAGTACCACATCATAGGTTGGTCTTACATTTCAGTGTTGCAAACTAGTTGGTTTGGGTGGGAATCAATTCAATCATGCTTGTATAAAATTCTAATTCATAATATGGTACTTATTGTCCTTAATTGTCATGATATCTACGTTGACTTTGGGATTGATCGGGTTGTTTTATTCCAATTACCTTATCAGAAATAGGCTCTTTTTCTTTGAACTGTTAAAACTTTTCTCTTGCAATTCTGCTATATTCCAATTACCTTATCAGAAATAGGCTCTGTCTTTGAACTGTTAAAACTTTTCTCTTACAATTCATTGGAGCTGCAGGGGTTGTTTTTGGAAATGATCTTTGGTCTTTTTTTTTTTTCTTCTAAATGAGCCAGCTTTCTATGATTGATGGCTTAACTCAAACTTGTGCCGGGCGTTGCTGAGCTTCCTGTTTCTGTTTGATGAATAGGGATGGAGATAAGATTGATTTACACAGCTATGCTCATTGCATTGAGAAAGATTGCGATTGCAAATATGAAAATGAGAGCAAGAGCTGTGGAATAGGTACTCGTACATCTTCAAGGGTGACACTGCAGCTCCATAGAGGATACTATCATGATCGTTTCAGAGATATATCTAAGGTCTCTGTTTCTTTCTCTATGTGTTTGTTACCTTGTCCTTTCCCTTTCTTCCGTCTTTTTGAAGCTTGTCATTTTCGGAAATTTCTCATCTGCTTGGCTCAGACTATTGCAGTTTCTTAAGAATATATGTTCTGCAACAGGATTCCTTTCCACATTTAGTTATTGCTCCAAATGCTGGCATTGCAGCTTATTCAAGTTGGTTACCAACTATTGTACGTCTTCTATATACTGAGTTCTTTTCACTTTATAATTCATAATGTTCTCTACAAGTGTCCTTTTATGTTTGTAGATTAGCACAGAATGCTTTTATATTTATACTGACCTTTCTGCCTGTGCATTTCAGAAAGTTTTTCCCTTAATTAGTTTTCGTTTTCTGATGACCGTTTCAGGAGCTACTAAAGGAGATAAATGCCCCTGCAGTGTTTTCTGATTATTGTGAAGAAGCTTGTCATCTTGCAGCTTTCTGCATAAACACTGTGACATGCCAGCCTCCCAGGCTTCCTGTAATTTCACATTGCTGCTTCTTCTCTCTCATCCTCCCTCTCCTAACATCCCCCTCCCCTTGCCCCTTCCCACCTGCTTCCCCATATAGCTTCGAACATATTGTGGAGCTTTATTTGTTCAATTTAATTATTTGTTTTGATGCCTCTATCCTGTAGGTTCAATTAAATCCATTCAGGCAGCCAATGGTGGTAGAAGACAATGCCCTGATTCTTCCTTGCTATTCCAACTGCTTCCTATTTGGTATGTGAAGTGATTTGCTCCCAATATTATTCGATGGATTTATTATCTTCTCCAAGCAAATATTTGCGGCTCTTACATTAAAGGAGAATGTAACCAAGGTAATCTTGTACAGTTGACTTTACAAGGCTGATAAAACATTATTTGCTGATGCAGTATTACAGCAGAAATTATGTTTAATAATGCTTGATCATATCATGTAATTAGAGTGATGATAAAATCCTTGGTGATGCTGGGCCTTGAAGTAAATTGCAACTCTTTGTAAACACATAAACATCATGTTTTTAGTTTTCTTTCATCGTAAGCATCAGAGATTGTACCCTTGACTTGTTTACAATACAGGTTGATGACTTTGATCCAAAGATTTACTAGGGCTATTGAATTTTCTAGCTCTGGAATATGGTAGAAAAACTTTGATGATAATAAGAATTATACCAACAGTTTTGGATTATGGAATAAGAATTATGTTGAGCTGCAGAGTTAGCATTGTTTGTCTGTTCTGATTTGTGACAGAATTAGGGATTGGATATGAATCCTTATTAAAAACAATCAACATATTCTACAGAATCAACAACTTACTTGGTGAACAATGTATAGACAACATCAAAAGGTTCCTTCAGTAAAGAGTTTGGAGACGACAACACAGATATCAGAAAGAGCTTTCAAATAAGCATTCCTGGTTGCCAATGGCGAGTAATGGGTTCCCCTGAAAGCAGACTGGCAATCATCAGCAGCTGCAGCAGCACGAGCAGCCAACTTAGCCAATTGAAAGAAAGTCTCGGAGTTCAAGTCATTATATGCCTCTTCAAGTGCCAAAACCGCCTTGTGGTAATCATGTTGGCAAATCTTGAGGCGTTTGTGGCTGGCAGAGGTGCTGTTGCTGATCTTGATGAGCTCAGCAATGTGGTCCTGGGTTGCGCTGGCGTTCAGATAAGCCAGACCAAAAGAAACATAAGCCAGCTGATAGGCATCAGCAGCTGGGGTTCGAGGATCAGAGTAGAGAGCCTCAACACAAAAAGTGTAGTTGGATGTTTGGTTGCAAACCTTGTCTACAAGCTTATTTGTTGGGGTGGCTGCAGAGGGTAATGGGGAGAGGATGTAACAAAGGAAAAAGATAAGCACAAAATGAAATCTGACCATTTCTTCTGGATTTGCAGCCTGGAAAGATTACAAAAATATAGTAAAAATATATGCAGTGTTCTCCAGACCCAGCTAGCATAAGGATGGAAAGCTGTGGGCCATATTGAAGATGATAGTCACATTTTTGTCCCATTCATGTTGTTCATGTGCGTTCCATGTCCTTGTCGGAAACCAAAATCCTACACCTTGAGGATGGGGAGAGGATGAAAAATACACACTGGGCAGGGAACAGTAAATCTAAGAAAAACAACGGGTCGTAGCGGAAAACATAAGTAGATAAGCGTTGCTAAAATTCTAGAGGGTGTATTGTTAGTGTACATAAGGTGAGTTCTTACCTATCCTTATTCACAGTGGTTGCATATAACATACTTTGAAAGTTATGATAGAACTTCGTGCTGTGACCTGAATATGAACCACTGCATCTACTTTATTTAACTTGATGGTGGAATCAGTAGTTTGAATTGTGTTCACAGCAAACTGCCCAATGGGTATGAAACTGCTACCTCTCAACTCTGAATATCTTGATAGATTCCTAACTTTATTGCTAGTCGAAAGCAACAAAATTTACAACTGGATAATTTATCAAAAATTTAAAAAAAAAAATCAGACAAATGGTTTGCTTAAGTAGCAAAAAAAAGTGTTTCTTCTTTTATTGATTGGGTCCGAATCTATTTAAAAAGGATATAAGAAAATAATTTTTCATAAATTCATTAATCAGCATGACTATACTTGTATCAATCCGGATCCAGAAAGAATAGATCGATCTATTAAGATAAAGTCCAAAAATCCTTTTTATAAAAATAAAAAAAAAAAAAGTAACAAACCTTCCTAATATGATTATATATTTTATTAGATTACATACCTTAATCTGCATTGAAAGAATGAGATTAAAAAAAAAAAAAAAAAACCAATGTCTCTCGCACACACCATTTATAACATCATCCCAAATTTGACCGCATCCATTCTCATAAACTGATCCAATTAATGAGAACAAGAAACAAGAAAAAATAGTAAAAAAAAACCATCAAATTAAGCAAAATATTGAAGCCAAAAACTGTCATCAAACAACTGATTCCTTTAAAAGAAAAGAAACCCTCTCATCTCCTTATTTCTCTAAGTATCCTCGGAAACTTTTGCATCAAAGTTTCAACATCACTTAACACCATTTTCAATCAAGTTTAAAGGCCTAATAGGAACACTAATAAGGCAAACGATTATCCCAAGAGTTGTATTACCACCTGAATGCCAGATAATTTTGAAAAAAAAGCTTCCCAAAACTCAATTATCTTCATTAGTCCCAAACAATTTCATTCTTGATAAAGATGTCCTCAAATACCCTTCCACCTCAAACTTCTTTGGTGAAAGCTCCCTATATTTTGCAAACTGTTTTTTAGCCTCAGCGTTCCTATCAAGCAAGCTATATATCATCCCTTGACAAAAATACGGCCTAAAATCAGTCGGGTCTTCTTTGGCTAACTCTTGGTAACTCCTCAAAGCTTTCTTCAAGTTTTTTTGTAAGAAATGTATCTGCGCCATAATCAGTCGAACATCTCTTGCTTCTTTGACTTTCTTCTCGTCTTGGGCAATCACTAAAGCCTCTTCTAACCTCTTGATCACGGCTTCTCCTTCCCCACAACGGTCCATTAACAAAGCATTCTCAAACAAAGCCTCAAAAGAGAGTGGATTTGACAGAAGAATTTCCTCGAACACTTTACGTGCATTCTCCGTTTGACCCATTTCCTTTAACAACCTCGCTAACAAGAATTTCCAATCAGTTACCTGTGGTTGAGCAGAAACCAAACGGTTCAAGATAGTAAGAGCTTCCTCGTCTTCGCCGCTTTCGAGCTTCTGTTGTAAAAGGGACTTCAGTGATTCAATGGCTTCATTGTTAGTTTCCAGAAACTCAGAAAGTGGGGAAGTTTGTTTTTGGTTTTGGATTTTTTCTTCCCGTTGCTCTTCTTCTTCGATAACGGTGGTTTCTTGTTCAGTCATTTTTGGTGGGGAGTCAGCTCTGGCAGGGAAGTGGGACAATTTCCCAATCATCAAAGTGGTGGCACCAAGTAAAATAGCAGTTTTGGCGAAGGATTGGAGCTTTTGAGCGATGGGTTGGTTATTGTTGTTAGGATTAGAAATGGGAATGGAATCAGGATTGGCTGAAGAAGCCCTAAGCCTGGGGGGTTTGGGGGAGGGAAAAGTGAGAAATGAAGCTGAAGAAGAAGAAAGTGACTTGAAATGGAGGAAAGAGGGGGATGGTGATGATAATGTGGCTAGTGTGGGATTCATGGCTAGGGTTTTTAGGATTTTCTTTTTGGGGGGATTCTGATCTTCAGGACTGAAGAACACACGGTAGGAGATTGGAGAATGAGACAAAGAGGGTCTTTCCTTGTATTGGGAAGTTTGAATTAGGTGAAGAATCTGACAAAGTCTATGGGAGTGGGACGGAGTGAGTGAGTGAGTTGATAAGAGTAGGTGATGCCCGCAGCCTGCAGCCCGTGCCAATTCGTATTTCCGTGTTGTAGAACAAGATACGAATTATGAAATAGTTTAAATTTTAAATATAAATATAATATATTTATTATACTAATTATTCGTGAATAATATAATTAATTTATTTAAATATAAATAATATAAATATATACGAATAAACATAATTAATATAAAATATATGAATAGATATAATTAATATAATTATATAAAAACAAAGTTAAAGTAATAAATAATTATAAATTATTTATCATTTATAATTTTAAAATTTGACATATTATAGTATATTAAAAAAATAAAAAATTTTGATATTCATTTAATATTATTTAATATATATATTTGAATTTTAATATATATTATATAATTATATCAATTTTTAGTATTAAATTCAAAATAATGAATTACCAAAAATTAAAATATAAAATAATAATGTATAAGAATAGTATTAATATTTATATTTTATTTATATTATTAATATAAAAAATAATTTTATAAGAATTATTAATAAATATTATAATTAAATATTTAAAATAATTTTTATACTGAAAAACTTATTAACTATCATAATTAAAATATTAAAATTAAGATAATTTTTATATATTTATATTAAATTAAAATAAATATAAAAAATATGTTAATATATTAAACGTGTACTTATAATTAAATTAAATTAAATTTATTTTTAATATCACATCATGTTAAACATATATTTATATGACATATTTTTTAAAATATATTTTTTATGTCTTATATATATATTTAAATATATCAATACGCATGAAATATAAATTATGTTATATCAAAATTGATATCGATACAAATTAATATAAAACATATTGTTTAAATTTTTTCTAAATACATAATTTTTTATATTTTTTAACTTTTTCTAAATATATAATGTTTTATATTGTATTATTTAGTCGTATCTTAAATTAGACCTAAGTGGGATTTTATGGGAGTTTCCGAAGGACTCAGGGCACTCGACAGCTTGCATCCAATGCCGTTACCTCGCATCCAAGATCAAAACAACCCAGACCTGATCAACTTACATTGTCGTATCCCGAATGGCTTTCAGCTCAGGGGTGAAGGAGATAAATACCATCAACATGCCCATGCTGCTGCTATGTTATAGACCACATAGGCCATGGAACGATGGAACCTGGTTTATCTGTGTAAGTGTTATGTAAAAGCCCATTGAAATCTCCTTTTTTTTTTTATTTATTTATTATTACATTTCAGTACATCACTGTTGATATGTGATATATATATATATATATATATATATATAAATATAAGACTCAACTTAATGTTCTTTTATCAAAGTTCAATCATTAATTAAGCATATCAATGAGCTGTTAATTTAATAATATTGGATTCGACTCAAGGATCTAAGGTCATAGATTAAAAAACAAAGAAAGATTCTTCATTTTTACTTTGTTTCTTCAAAGCCAAATTTGTTACTTGTGAAATACATAACTAAATTATAAAATACCCAATTTTACATGAAATGGAATTTTTAATTAATATCAATTGCTGTGACATAGTTAAATGTAAGTAATAATAATAAAAAAAATTAAGTGGTTATATCTGTGGTTCAAAATTTTTAAGATATTTTAGAATGTAAATGACAAATCCAAAAAATTCATATCCTAATGCACAACTCTTGAAAATTGATCTGTATTTTGATCATTTGATATCCTTGTTAAAGTTAAAAACAACCATCTCATTTGGATATTCAGGGCTTAGAATAGTAATCTTATTCAACAAACTAGAGAAAATTGGAGACCTTATTTTTTACGAAAAATTGAAGAACATTTTTATGTTTATTAAGTGTATAAAAGGCAACGGGTTTGATTGTGATGGATTTTTATTCGTCTTTAATTCAATTTAATTTTATAAATTTAATATTCGAATTTAATTCAATTTTTATTTTTCTTTCAAAATACCTTATTCGATTTCATCTGAAACTCTATTAAAAAAAATTTTATAAGATCAGATCGGATTGAAACCTATCATATACGGGTTAGATTACCAACCCTAATCAAATGCCATGGGATTGAAACCTTTGGCAAAGAAAGCTAGCGTTTTCTTCTCTTTTTCTCTACATAAAAAGAAAAAAAAATTGTTTTCCATTCTGAATTCTGCTATTCAAGATTCTACATGAAAAGGAATCATAGACAATACAATGAAAATCTCTCCCCACCCATCATCCAAATGAAGCCTAACAAATGCATGCTACATTAAAGGTCATATCAGCTACCAGGCAACCAAATTTCAATACTATTAGTGACCGGTAACTGGCACATTCAGTAAGAGAATTCCAAAGAAAATAAACCACGAGATTGTTCAAGCACCCAATATGCATGCTAAAACAAATTGAACATAGACTAAACCAGCTGCATTCACTTAAATAAAAGACAAGATGGGATATGTTTCAAAAAGAAAGAAATAAGAAAATACAGGATGGGAGGGTCATTGAGAGATTGTTTAACAGAGAATAATAAAATAGAGAAATGGAGATTAGCAAAAATTTTCTTACTGTCTTTCTACTTTTCTAGTCATGCACATCATCATCAACTTCAACTGGTGGGCACAAGAAAAGGCCTCAAGCATAAGAATCCCCATTCAATCAGTTTTTAAATACAATGATGAAAGTTTTAATTGATACAAAAACAAAACTTGATACCCCTATTTCTACAATGAAATTCCAATATGGCTAACTCTTGATCAGAAAGAAGCAACCTAAACGAGCTTCAAAGGTACTCCACAAAACCACAATAATCATAGGAGAAATCTGAAGTAGTCTATCTGACCATCTCCATCTCCCAACTACTCATGAAAACATGACACCAAGCTTCTTTGCAAAGTCATCACCATCTTCACCATCTTCATCCTCTATGTATTCCTCTTCAGGGTCCACATTTTCACCCTCCTCATAGTTATATTCCCCTTCATCACCCTGCTCATAATAATAATCTCCATCCCTCCGGTCATCTGCCTCAAGTTCATGATCTCCCATCCTCTCATCCGCAATTATCCCATGCTCACTCTCATGCTCATGTATGTTGAGTAGTTGAGAAGATTCACCACGAGCAACTTCTGTTGTTCCAATATCTGCAGTTGTAGACTTTGATTCTTCCTTTCTGTTGGTCTCCTCTGGTGTCAATGAAATTAATGCATTAGTGGAGTTATCAATCAAGCTTTCCTTGCTTTGTTTCTGGTTAACATCTTCTTTACTTACAAATACTATACCACTTTCAGAAGTAGCAGCTTCAGATTGTCTCTTTCTCTTCAGAATCTCACTTAGGGGCATTGGCCCTTCAAATGAAATATCACCTCTAGTTTGTTGAAGATCCTCTATGCTCTTTCGCTTTCCAAGAGAAAGATGCTCCTTATTATCAGTATTTTTCCCAACTTTCAGTTCAGCAAGACTTTTCGGACCAGCAAAATCAGCATTCTTCTCATCCATTATTTCTCTTCTAATCCTTGGACCCCCAAAACTTCGGCCTTCTTTATTGTTGTATTCCCCTTCCAACCTTCCTTTTATTCTGTCACGAAGCCTCCCCTGGTAAGAAGAGGTTTGTGGCTTTCCTGGTGAGAGTCGGCCCCAATTTCGACCCCTTTCTGTCTCTCTTTCAGAATGCAAATTAGTCGCATTGACTAGAGATCTCCCAGGAAGCTTTATTCTACCCTGAAGATGGTTACGAAGGGAACTCTCATGGGGAGGTAAATGATAAGAGTCTCTAAGAGAACCAGGGTAATTTTCCTCCCCTTCATGGTTTTCTAGGGTATGATTCTGACTTACAACAGATCTCAGGCCATTAGCCCTCCTATGCTTAGACAAACGATGCCGTAGATCTGACTCCTCAACATGATCAGGATTATCAGCTCTTGAGTAACCTCTTCTTTCCAGATTAGATGGTCCCAAAGATATCCTCTCAGACGAAGCCCTCTGTTGGTCCCACTGGTAATTCCCATGCACATGGTCTAATGAATCATAGCCCTGTCCATCATGAAACATTTCTCTGTCAACATCAGCCATGGCATCATAATTAGCAGAGTGACCAATGTCATATTCATTCACATTCCTTCCCTCATGTCCTCTTGTACCTCCATATCTATCTTCATCATGGAAGAAATTAGAATCTCTGAGCTCATCATCCACAAGAACATCAAAACCAGGAGAAGACTCCCTCAAAAATTCGTCAGTCTCCTTAACAGCATGAAAACTCAGTTCATCTGAAACATTGAGATGATGCAAGTGATTGGAACGACCCATAAAGCTACCATTAACAACTGAAGTAATATTTGTTGCTTTATGTCGAGGAAGTTCCTCATCCAAGCCTGCCAGATGTGGCACACTTCTCTCAGTAGCACTACCACTCCTAGCGGAAGCAGCATCAACTTTTCGGGTGGGTTTACCTTCAGGAGGTACTCCAACTGTCTTTGACATATTAGTTGGTGGAAACTTCTGCAACTGAGATGTTTCAAGGGCACCAAAAGCCTTTTTCAAAGAATTAGGCTCAGTAGCAGTGATAGTTGCAGTTGGCTGTGGGCCTTTATTACTTGTAGTTGGACCATGCAAAAAAGCACATCTGTCGCCTTTTAAGCAAAGCCCCTTTTGGAAGAAAATACATGGCACTGCTTGTTTTCTGGAATTGTAAGAAACACCCTGGTTGTAAGGCGTATGACTAGCAGGAGTTGGTGTTGCGGCCATGTGTGATGAAGACGTGGTAGAACCAGCTGGTGCTGCTACTTGGGTTCCCAACAAACCATCAAGGGGCTGAAAAGACAGCATCAGAAATCTGTAAGGCTAGCATAAAAAAGAATTGATAATATTGGCGAAGGAGAAAATAAGAAACTTACAGGGTGCCGAAATCCACATTTCGGGTTCATGCAATTACCATTCAACCAGAAAAAACAATCCCTTGGGTTAACCCGGGCATATTCACTATGTCGATACTCACATTCACTTCCCTATTGGCATGGAAAAGAGAAAAGGAATATTAGTTACAGAATCCAACGACCATTGATGACAAAAAAGTACACAGCAGTACATAAGATATGTCCGCTGCATTTTAGAATGTATGAAGCAATCATAACACGACTTTATGCACCATCTAAAAATAACTGGTTCTTATAAGCAAAAAGATGCAGAAACCAAGACATATCTAAAAATAAATACACATTCAATAGCACATCATTTGAAGCATAAGCAATCATTAAAAGGAACACCAAGGGAAAGATTCCTTATATTATATTTCCTCATGAAATTCACTAGGGTTTTACCGCTAAGAAACTAAGATAAACTGTCAAGATCTAACCTTTAAACTGCTAAAAAAACAAAATTTCACTTGTCCAATTAAAATTAATGTTTTTTCATCCAAAGTTAAACAAACAACTAAACAAAGAGCCATTAAAAAAAGAGGAGAGTAAAGGGTAAATCTTAAACCCTAATCAAAGTATCAAAGCAAGATCCCAGAAAGAACAAGACCTTTGATTGAAACCCTAAAAACCTTAAGAAAAAACCGAACCTTTTTGCAGGTTAAAGGGGAAGCAAGAAAGTAAACGCAATCTGTGTTCCTCTTCAAGGCCTCTTCGTCAGCCGATGTTTTTGCAGCTCCGGCCACCGCCGCCTGCATCTGCTGTTGCTGTTGTTGCGTAACCGCTACCATGGCGGGCACTTCAACAATATATTAAAATCCCCAAAACAAAAAAAAAAAAAAGAAAAGAAAAGATTATTCCTTTGTTAGATCGAAAATTTTAAAGAACGAGAAAGGTACGAATTTCAGATTCTGTAAGAACAGAAAGAGGAGGAGCCGCCAGGGGGAGATTTGGGTTGAATGAAATAAAAAAGGCTAAGCTAAAGGCCAAAAAAAGAAAAGTAAAAAAACAAAAGAGAAAATAAGTTAGGAAATGGGAAGGAAATGGAAAAGGCAAGGAACAGACAAGATGTCAGATGAGTGGTGATATGTTAACAGTGAACATATATATGGGGCGAGGTTTTTAAGTTGAGTTTTTTATGTTCTGTCCTTCCGGCCCGACCGTGCTCGAACCATTTTTCGGTTCTACACGTGTTTCTTTCTAATTGGTTGCTTCATTTTTGGTTCTCATATTTTATTTTTTAGTTACTTCAAATGTTCGACATAGATAAATTATTTCACTGTCGGATTAAGATTCATATGATGAGATTTACTTTCTTGATTAGATAATTTTGGATCGTCTATGAAATAAATCAAATTTAATATAAATTTAAATTAATTGATTCATGCCTTTACCTTTAATATTGATTTAAATACTTCCAAAAATAAAGTATATATTCTATACATGATGTGTTGAAACTCCATTCTCCGTTACAACAAAAACTAATGAACGAGAAAATCTTTTAATAAAGTGTAAATGATATATTAATATTTATAAATTATTTAAATTAATTTGAATAAAATTTCAATTCAATTCAATTATTATTGAATTAAATTTGAATTCAAGTAATTTAATTTATCGATCAATCCGAATTTGAATATTTTTATATTCAACTCGAGTTGATAACGAATCTAATATTGTTTTTATATTTTAATTATTTCAATTGATAAAAATATCTCAAATTCAAATTTTAAGTTCAAGCATAAATAATTGAATTTTTATCGAATATAAAAATATAATTTATTTTTACATATTAATCAAATATAATCAAACGAGTTCAAGTAACTCGATTTTTATATCGAATCAAGTTTGAACTAAAAAATATAAAATTCGATCGAATTAAAATCAAATTTTTAATTTTAAATTTTAAATCGATATCAAATTTAATATTATATTAACTCAAACTCGATCGATTATATATAATTACTTAACCTTAATAAGACAGTCAAAAAAACACAAACTACAATAACACAGGATTCAATTTCTTTTAATTAAAAATAATCAATATCATGAAAAAATGGTTCAAGAAAAAAAATATACATAGTAATATTTTCCCAACATTTCTTGAAAAATGAACATATCCAAGTATTTCGGATCTCACTTCTCTCAACGAATAATAGGGATAGACCATTTTCTTTGTCAAAGAAATATTTATATAGATAAATACATGTATACATATGTATATATATGTGTATGTATTTTTTTTTGAAAAAGAAATATTGTTTATAAAAAAATAATGATATTAAAAATAAAAAAACATATATCCATAAATAAAATATATAATATGGGTATAATTACATTTGTAAACATATATAAATATTAGTAAAAATTTTAAAATATATATTAGAATTAAATAAAATGATATATTTTTTTAATTTTTTAATTTATGGTGATTCGTGTACAATAAAAAATGAAAGATTTGGATAAATTATGAAAATTCACCTATTTAGATAGAATTCCAAGAGCTCAAAATTTCTCTTGAAATTTTATATAAATTTTGTGTTTCTTTTTTATTTTTAGCTAAACAAATAAATTTATTTTTGAAGTTTTGAAAATTTTGAGATAATGTTTGATATTTTTTTGTAAAATCACCTTGATAATATAATCACCTAGATAATTATATTATCAAAATGATCTTATCATTTATAATTTAAAATTATTTTATTTGATTAATAATAATTAATATTTAATAATTTTATATTACCGTGTTTAATATTATTAAATTTTAAATATTATTTTGTTAAAAGTACAAAAATAATTGTTCATATTATAATAGTTATACAAGTTTATAATTTTAATGTTATTTAAAATAATATTTAAAAAATTAGTATATTTTATTTTTAATAAAAATATAATTAAATAATTAAATTAATAAATATATTTATTGATAGATAAATAAATATTTATAATATAAATAATGTAAAAAAATTTTAAATTAAAAAATAAAATCAATCTATTAAATTCATAATAAGAAAACAAAAAATTATATTATATATAAAATATTAAAAAAAACACCAATTATTTTTAAATTTATTACAGTAAATATCAATTTAAAAATACAAAAATTTATAATATAAAATAATTATAATTTTAATAAGAAATAAGTTTTAAATTCAAATTTAAATAATAATAGTTATTATTAATTTTATTTATCACTGCATTAATTAAATTTTTTATTATTATTTTAAATAAGAATTAAATTATTTTTTAATACAATGATTTTATTACTCGCGGTGGTTTAAGATCATCATCACATCATCAAATATTTATCAAATACAATGATATAATTCTGTACATAAATAATTATAATTTTTTAAGTGATTATCTTATATAAAATACTACATAGTTGAAAAGAAAGTCCCTCCACTAAATATCCCATCCAAACACCCCTTTACTACTTTTCATTCACCTTGTTTAGTCCCAAAATTTCAAATTCGTAACCCTAACCCTAAGAGTCTCTCTCTGATAAAGCCAGGACCAAATGAAGGTTACTCGGTAGTCTCAGACGCATTCCTGTTAAGTAAGCACGTTCCCTGAAACTTTTTTTTTTTGTTTTGTTCAATGTTCATACTTATTGTCCGAAAGAAAAAAAAAAGATTTTTTAGTGAATAATCACGCAATCTAATTATTCTGATTTCTTGATTGGCTTCCGATAGAGGTTGAAATTTTTTTACTTTTTCCCTCATTTTTGATTTAATTTATGCAATTTTATCAATTCCAGCCCGTTCTTCCAGGTTTCCTCTTTAATATCATAGTTCAAATTCTGCCTAGAGCGCTTACACCAATGATGCAGCCTCATTTACCAGTCTCGCAAGGAGCCTTGTTGGGTTCCGCAAGTTTTTCTTTTACTCCGAATCCTCAGTTGAATCATAATGATCAAATGCATCCCTCTAAATCCGTAAGAGAATGATAGAAGTACTGAATTATAATTTTGCAGCTTTTTCTGGTCATTAATTTTTGGTTAATGATTTGATCAAACGTTAAAGTGTTGACTGCTAGTAGGACTTTCAGTTAGTGCAGATGCTTTTGTTAGAAATTTTGCAAAGCTTTAAATTAATGTATTCAGTGGCCGAGCCAAGATTTATTAAGTGGAGAAGGAGGTGATACCAAACTATGCCTGAAAATAGTTGGGCCCTCCTGGTCCTAACTAACATCCACCTGTGATTCTATTTTTTTCAAGTTTTTGTTTTTACAAATGTTTTTGGGCTGCTGTATGCAGTGCAATGATTTCACCCTTAAAATGAATTCTCGGACTATGTTACAGCGCAATAAACAACTGTCCAGGATACGTCTATAAAATCATGCTTGTAGGTGCCCCAAATTAGTTGCAACCGGATGCCTCAATTTCAGCATCTATCGTGATCAAATCTATATTCAATGACTGGATCCTGTATGCAGTAATTTGGCATTAGTTAACGTTAAGTCAGAACTTTCTATCATGGTTTCTGTCCAGCCTTTGGACTTTGGAGTTCTGTGCAATGTTCTCCATTTTAAATCTATTTTATCCAGACTCTACTGTTTGCAAGATGATGTATAGCAATTGCTTATGTATCTGCAGAATGAATTTGATATGGAGTTTTTTGTATGCCAATGTCTTAGGATTTTAACCTTTTTGCTGATTGCAGGATACACCAGCTATTAGTGCACAAGCTCTTACAGCATCATCAGCGTTAACTATTTCTCAGTCTGGCCCATTGCCCGTCCATAACTCTTCAGATTTTACGATGAATGCATCAGCCAATCCCAATTTTGCCCCAGTAACTTCGTGGATGCCCACCACTCCATCTTTTCCCATGTCTACTGAATCTTCTGGTACTTCAGGACACCTGGAAACCCTGGGTTAGTACAGTTTGTTCAGATGATTACTGCTTCTGCAGCTGTGGATGCTCCCTATTCTGCAGTCCCTAGACCCAGTGCTCCTGTTTCATTAAATCCATCTGTTCAGTAACAAATATACCCTACCTATACATCCTTACCTTCTATGGCTTCTTCCCCTCATGGATTTTGGATGCAACATCCTCCAATGGGTGGCTTTGTCAGGCCTTCATTTGTGCCTTATCCTAGTATTTATCCTGGACCCTTTCCTTCAGCATCAAGTGGTTTGCATCTTCCTGCGCCCTCATCTGATTGTCAACCTCCTGGTTTTAGTCCTCTGGGAACGAGTCCATTTGCACCATCTACAGCTACTCCAACCAACCAGTCATTTGTTACTTTAGGAATACAGACAGGATTACCTCCTCAAGGAATTGGTACGCTCAGGGTTTAATGCTAGATTACTGATCAACTAACAATGTAAGAGCTGTTTAACCTTCATTACTGTAGCATGAAGTTAATTTTTTCTTCATCCGTGTTACATGGGGTTCTGCAGATAAACTTGCCCATGATGTTGGAAATAGAGTTGAAGCTGCTGCCAATGAACAATCTGATGTCTGGACTGCCCACAAGACTGATTCGGGGATTGTCTATTACTATAATGCATTGACAGGAGTGTCGACTTATGAAAAACCAGCCGGATTTAAGAGGGAGGTACATGTGAATATGCATGCATATGGTTTCCAATAGTTACTTTGTTAGTGTGCCTGCCATTTGCATTTTTAGATTGCAAACACTTAAATTGACCAATACATATTCAACAAATTTCCCAAATATCGGCTGATTAGCAATCTTTGATAATGCCCAGGAAATGTCCTGCACTTAAAGCAGCCAGAAAACTTTGAAGTATCAAACATCAATTATATGATGCTTTGTTAATTAATCCTAAGATTCCACGTTGTTTAACTGGCTGGACGCTTACGGAAATATTGGATAAAACTTCATATATTTGCATATTAGCATCTGTGTGTACTTGTGGGGGTATATGATATAATTTCAAGCTCTCCATGGGTTGCCTTTTTGAAGTTCAAGATCAGTTTCCATAGTTCTTGTCTGTAGAAAATTTGCTATAACTGTTTTAGTCATGGCATGTGGATTTTCTGTTGGCTTCTTAAATGCTAATCCAGATTATTTTTAACCTTTTTTCTTTCACCTATGTGTGCAGCCTGACCAAGTTACCATG